CCCGCCACCTCCCAGCGCCCTCCCCCGCCACACTCCTCCCGCCATCTCCTCGCACCCGGCAGGGGCGGTACCTTTCTTAGACCAACGACTGAAGCCCCTGGAAAGGCACCAGCTTTTAGACAGGCGCGTTCTATCTTGAAAATCTTACGTGGTCAAAAGTCTGATCAAACCTTAAACCTTTATTAATTATTCTAATAAAAGTATAGCCCCCTCCACTGATGTTGTCACATGTATAAACATAATAATAAAATATTTCATACTGATTTTGTTCCTCTAGACAAAACTGCATCTATACAACAGCACAGAGGTGGGAGAGAGAAGCCTGTCAGCACTACCTTTACATCAGGACACATGAATGCTCTTGCTATTTCTCTTAAATGAGTAAACATATTGTACGTCTAAACTACTGCATTTGGCTTTTAGAAACAGATGTGGATTATTTCAGAGAAGCAGCATTGCTAAGACTGAACAAGTTTCACCGCTGTTCGAAAGCCCCTCAGCTCTTAGAAAAACTTTTACTTGCAGGTGACATTTAGTAAATTCTCCACTTCATCCCAGCAAAACATCTAAATTCAATCACATCCTTCTCCATTCTCTGTAGTCCTATGACAGCAAAACCAATTTTAGATAAACACACAGACCTTAACGGTAATTAATTAACAAACATTACCAGCTGTTGCCATTTTATTCTCAGCTCTAATGTGTTTGATAAGGATCTAAAATGAAGGAAGCTAAATTAAAACTGAATTCTCAGGACCCTTTCCTACAAATAGAAGGTGAAAGGCTCGGGCAGCAATTGCTGTCCAATTACCAGGCCACTGGGCACTAGGGATGGCCGACTACTTGATCCAGCTGTTGGGAGGCCTTGACACTACATGTCAGTACTATGACCGGCTTGCTTCTTACACACGTGAACGCAGCTTAACCTTCTCCAGGTAACATACATTATCTTCAGCTATTATCTAACTATGGCCATTGCTAGTGTGCTTTTTCAAAAACTATTTTTCTGCTGTACAACACTGCTAATAGAGAACATCCATGACCACCTGGGAACTGAAGAAGTTCTTAACATGTTTGGCTTGCTTGTACTTCAGTCATTTGTGTTGTTACTTAAGAGTACTCTTGCCAAATAAATAAATAATTGTTGGTAGTTTAATAAATAAATAAATAATGTCGTTTACCTCTTGCCTTGTGATAAGTTCATCTGACAAATGAAATTTCTATCTAGTAAAGGCTAAATTGTGCTTCAAACTGGGTAAGGATAAAGCTGTAAGAAGAGGAAATTATTTATACAGAGGAATAGCAAAGTATAGCATCACAGAATTATATGGTAATATTACAGCACAGAAAACTGGGACTTGAATGTTTAGCCTTGTGTTTGTTTCATTTCTAGCTGTCTATATACCTGTGCTCAAGGTCTTTTGTACATTCTGTTATTTCTGATTGATTTTGTTTTTACACTGCTTTTTTCCCCAGTAGGTGGCCACACTTGATAAATTAAACAATCCGTTCAGCCCTGAAGGAGTGGGATGTGTCAAAGACAGGACCTGGCAATGTAAAAAGAATGCCTACTGCAGAAACAAGTAGAGCAGTCCTCAGCCTTCTCTGTTTTGGTCCTTTGTTTTTTGTTTTTTTTTCAGCAGAGATATGGGTCTATGGATCCTTATCAATCAATTTGAAACCTACAAACAGTATACATGTTTCTCTTAGCTACCTTTCACACATCTCTTGGAAACAGACACTAAACCCCCTCAGACCAAAAAACTGCTCTTAAAAATGCTCTAATTTGCCAGCCTCTTTGTAGAAGAGGGAGATGCCTCTTCAGGCTTCTGGCTGCTTTCCACAAGAGATTCATCCCTGGGCCAGAGAAAGCAGGAAAGCATTTTGATCTGAAAGAGCTGCTACTATTATGAATTACTATAACAGGGTGGATACTGAAAACTGGCTAGGAAAAAGGTAGAGAAGAATACATCTTTTTCATCTATTTGAAAAAAAACCCAACAACCCTCTACTATTAATCTGTAAAAACTGCATCCATATTTTCATGCCCTATCAGAAAAAATAATATTCTTAAAAATGCAAATCTTGGAAGTCATGGAAATGAAACTAAAGTAGTAGTGGGTGAATTTGGAAATATTTTCCCTTCTTTTGAATCACATTACAAGTAAGTAGGATTAAGCCTGGTATAAGCCAGGCTAAGTGCATTCTCATCTTATTCTGGGTAGATACACAAGCAGAGAAAAAGTAGCAAAAGCTAGAGTTTCTTACTTCCATTTTCTAGGTGTTAAGTCCACAGTGCAAATACAAATGTGAATTCCATGTAGATACATCCAATGAAAGAGCTGCCCCTTCTCCCTGTAATTCTGCTCATTTTAGGAATCAGGATTGAGCAAAGGATGAGCAAATGTTAAACTGATGGATTAACAATAAAAACCACACACACACAGAGAAAACAAACAAAAAACAAACAACCAAAAAAACCCCAAACAAACTCCATTCTAGAAAAAAAAGATCAAAACTTTAATCACTTCAGCAAGAATTTGTCATCTCCTATGTTCAGATCTCTAGAGAATTCTGTTTCCAAAAAAGTTGAACAAAATACTCCTTTCTACACCAGTACTTTTGTACTCAACATTACTTGTCAGTTGAAAGTTACCACTTTTACTGACACCAAATTCTGCAGTGTGTTTCTCTTTCTTGTTCAGGATAAAACTGAGGAATGGAAACTACCTAAAACCCTGCATTTTACTATCTTTATGAAGCACAAAGACTCCATGTTCTGCAATACAGTTCACATTCTGACCATGGTGCTGTATAGACAGCAGTCAAAGCACTACATTTGTATATTCCTTCAAGTCTCTGAACACCAAAGAACTCAACATAAAATACTGCAAATTTTGTTAAACTCTTGAAGGACATTTGCCATGCCAATACACTTTGCTGTTGGTATTGTCTGGTTACTTTAATGTTTTTTATTCAAATAGCTTACAGACAGAAAATTACTTTCTACATGCCACACATTCTACATGCTATGATGTGACCAAATCAATGGATGTACAGAGGAAATGTACACAAGCAGAGATAGAAGAAAGATGGTGTGGTGGTTAAGACATGAACTCCAGGGTGAGAAGCAATGGAATAATTTGTTATGAGAAAATGCTCCCTTATATACTTTTACAGTGTGAACTGAGAATAAGCAACTGGGGTACAGAGAATGTAAACAGCACTCACACCTGCTCCTTGGCACATACACAGAACTTGGGTTCCTAGGATGTGGCCAATCACACACCAAACACACGATAAACAGTGTTCTGATTTTTGTCAATTCAGTGATGCTCACAGCCTGCCCTGGCCCTTAGCTGGTCTCATATTGTTTTAACTACCTCTTACAGACAGAGGAGGCCCTTTTTCTTTTCCCATGGCTATTCTCCACAGACAGGGAAAAGAATTCTATAGCAGATGGACACATGAAAATAAAAAAAAATAAAAAAGGGAAGTTAAAATGGAACAAAGAGATTCTGCACATCCCCTTAAGTAAAATTCTATTTATTGTTACAAATCTAGAGTCAGACCTAAACACAAGAAGAGTGAACAAAGCATATTACTAAACTGCAGAAAAATGCAGAAATAGGTAGAAATCTGTCTGGTGAAATCATGACCTACTAACATCATTTTTTCTTTGTTAACATCATCCAACACTGTGTCATTTTTGGTATCTGACATGACTCAAAATTATGAAAAAATACAAAATCGAGAACACTGGTAGGACTAGGGTCAGAGCTTTTCTTAATCATCTGTTTGTCCAGACTACAGCAGAAGAAACTCATCTTCACCAAGAACATTCACAGAGACCTGTAAAGCTCAAAGCATAGTCATTAGACTCAGTCATTTGATTAGTGCCAAATGCTCCACCTTCTGTTCTGGGAACAGACATGGACTAGGATCATGCCTTTCATCAGTGCCTCTTCATTTGAGTAGCTTAAGCAAAACATGAAATACCATGTACGACATGAGCATTTACTTTCTAAATGGAATTAAAGTTCAAGTAATTCTAAAGGTTCACAGTGTAATACTTTAATATTTTTCATCCAAAGCACAGGTACTGGTTCTGGCTGGATTGGAGTTAATT